AAAATACTATACAAATTTGGTTTGTGATATGTGTATACATGTATAACATTCTGTTATTAAACAGAATGTAACGTATAACATTCTGTTATTAAACAGAATGTTAATATTAATAAGATTAAAGGCATAAGACATTTGAGCAGTCCCCAAGTCGGGCGACCTACAGAGCAGCAATTGTCATTTCGGCAGGTAACTGTTTAGCATCATCGTTTTTTGCACAACGCGGTCCACACAACGAATGTTAGACGCATTCATACGACTTATATACTAAATATATAACTGCCCTGCCGTTGTAACAAACACGAGATCCGGCACCTTATGTGATATGACGTAGATATTTTACGTGATACAGACACATCGACATCCATTCGTGTACAGCTTTTAAATATTATCTTCTTTACTCTGCCAGTATATCGCTAACAAACGTTCACCGAGTGAATATCTTACACAACATGAGCGCTAATGTGATGTGTAGCGTAAGCGTCGGCGGTCATTTATAATATGCACTAGTCAAATAAAATTAAATAAGACTCGCTCAGTGTCAACCTTCTCCGTAAACTATTCGTAATAATACCGAAACAAACTAGTAGCTTACATTAAAAATTACAAATAAAATTTAAACGGTATATCGATCTACCTATCTTCTATATTCTTATGACAAATAATATTGTGATGAGTTCATATAGATATCACGTACGAGCTGCACTAGTACACAAACATAATAACACAGTAACTCTAATACGTGCGCATTAACGGGAGTGCGCGTGCGCATGCGCGGGCGCGGTGTTTTATTATTATTAGTAAGAGACGGTATGACGAAATCACATTATGTGCATCGTAGTACGGGAGACTGCAAACCGAGCACAGAAACATTACCTTACTTCATGTGGATGTTCAGGTGTGCCATAGATACAACATAAACACGTATACAGTTCCTTAGAAGTAATAAACAGCCATAAAAATTATAATTCAACACAACAACACGTGCGTATTACAAAGTCATTATTCCAAAGCAGCCGTCGACGGTGACAGACAACTGTGAGACAATCGTAATGTCTCATTATAAAACATTCACAGATGAAAGATTATAATCATATTGTAAGCATATAGAAAATTAAAATATATTTCATCTATTGCATATTATTTAATTAATAAATAAAGTATTCTGTACCTGTTTTGCAGTGAACCGTACGAGATATGACTGTATACACAATTCGTAAACAATAATTATAAATAACTTTCTATAATTTTCATTAAATTTAAAAACATCCATAATATTAAATATATGCTTAACCTAATTATTCCTATATTACATAATCTATAACCTATTTATTCACAATATATAAATGCACATATTAAATACTGCTGAAATATGTAAGTACATTGCTATTATGTTATAATTATGTATATTCACATGTACACGCAGCGGCACAACAAGTTATTAAAAAATGACAAATATCCACACAATCCATTTTGAACTTATTCGCGATATCGTGAAAGTTGAAAATGATTGTAGATAATTTAACAGTTTTAATTAAGCCGAGGTGCCGCTGATCGTTCGAGATTACCTCCCAGTGTGCGAGATTATACCGAGAGAGGTGCGCGGTGCGTGCACGTCACCGTACACTCGCGACACCATTATTGGATCACACCTGACTGGCCATCGGGCGACGCTGAACGTGCCGAGCCCGACATTAATCACAGATATCGTACAGTTTACATTGTTCCAACGATCGGACCACGTAGCGAGACCATTCGAGCGCCGGAATATTCAAACGATACACTCGATTGACCGATTTATTTACTGGCCTAATCGATTGCCAGTTCCCGCAATTATTGAACATTTGTGTCTCAAAGATCATGATCATAAAAGTGTTACGTCAAACACTCGTAACTTGTATTGAATTTAATATTGTGTACGGGTGTATAGAACAATAAAAAGTCAGACTATAAAGTAATGAGATCAGTAGAGAAATTCGAAAATGCGTCAAATATGAACATTGTGATGATTTTGTGGATGATAAATATAAATAATACGGATGTAGACGATTTTCTATATATTTTTTTGTTATAGATATATTTAAAAATATTTAAAAAATATATCTATTAATTAAATATCTAAAATGAAATTAATGTTCAAAATTTCCCGCTAAAACGCTAATCTATGTCATGGCGTCCATGTGACGTCACAGCCCTCTGAAACTAACACAAACAATAACAACAACAAACATAGTTATACGCACAGTTCAATTTATCGTCAATGTCAAAGTCAAATTTATGGCATCTTCTTCAGAGGACTGTGACGTAATGCGCTGTTTTCAGTCACGTGACAACGAGTATAAAATAAGTGTTGTTTCATAATTAATTTAAATAATATCATAATTAAAATAAGCATGGCAGTGTGCTTATCGGCAATAGTAAATTAAATATATGTATTTATTTTCGTTCACTGTCTACACCCATATTAAATTAATATAGCATTTTGAATTAAAAATCGATAAAAAAAAAAAATAATAATAATATACATCAAATTGATTAGCCGCCAAAATATGTACAGGAATTTGCTAAAAATAATTAAAATAACTCATTTCACAATACACTATAGACGAACAGTGACCAACATCGTCCCGAAGCGATCGTTCTAATAATCCAGAGAGGTGTTGTCTGTCGCACACAATGATTCCTCTAGCAGCAGTCCTCTAGACTGGTCGTGCTGTTAATCCGACTAACGCAACTGTTTCACAACACGTTAAACTAACGACAACACAATGAGGAACATCAATCGATTAAACTGCATCACATTACACGTGTAGACAACATATGTTATTATCTCATAGAAATCGAGCGAGCAGTTTTGAAGGTACGATTGTTTTAATTTATGCCTTTATGAAAAATTTCGTCTACAACGCGACGCACACGGAGTACCAAGTCACTCATACATTGTACCGGTTTCTTGACGACAATAACTTAATTAAGCGTCGAGTAGTGGATGCGGGGTTGAGAAGAGCCCCCAGGCTTCAGATAAAAAGGAACAAAACTAAAATGGAAATCATTATTTATGACACCAATCCGCCTAGCAACCCTTTGCGGAATGGTAGGGTGTGTGCTGGGTTTATACAAATCTTTCTTATGGACGCTATATGTAATACAAACAGTAATCCGTACAGGGTTGCGTGGTGGGCCCGATGTGAATTTGTGATACTAAATCACAGGTCTTCACGATAGACAGAACCGATCCACCCAACATTCCGTACAGGGCCCGCGTGGGCGACCTAAATCGCTAAACACTACAAGGGAAATATTATTTATACACTACCCGCGCATGTGAGATTGCACAACCGATATCGAGTACAGTATAACGTAAAAATAAAAAATCGATGACATTCCTCATTATATAATTGCTACAATCACCCGCGCACGTGCGCCAGGTGCGTGTGCGCATGTAACTAGTACTCAAATTAGGTGCAGTAGTTCTATCGGTGATGTAAACAAAACGAAACCCTTGAAAATGTAGCAAGTGTTTAGCGAAGGCATCCGACAAACGCTCGTCTGTGTCTCGTGGACTTGTCGTATCTTGTCTTCTGTTAATCAATGTTTCAGGTATTTTAGCAGCGTCGGCCATGTTGTTAGAATGACGTCACTTTGCATATCTGGGTCCGTTCATGAATGCAAAATAGGCATTTCAAAAGTATGGTTTAAGAATAATCTGTAGATTGATTTTATAACGCGATAGGGACTTCGCGGATTCAATAGTGAATTCATAAATTATGTATCGATTCAAAATTCGATTTCAATATTTCATCTGGACTATGTAATTGTAATTCGTCAAGTGAAAACTGATAAAAACGCAATCAATTTGATAATGTTCAGATGATGATGCATTATATTCAGTTATTGATTGTCTAAAAGTGGATTTAAATGAAGAATTATAAAGTCTTTCTCAATTATCGAACAGATGTACAGGTATACTCAGTCGTGTTGGTAGCCCGATGTCCGTTGCTTTCGTGCTCGGCGCCACGTGTCCGTCCTCTCCATCTCGTCGCTCAGTCCGTTTACTTCCATTCCACATTCTGCCCACAATCCGTCTCTCCTGTGGCCCTCCTATAACTGTCCATTACTCTGACGTTTAGATCATCACCTCGCTAAACTCGCATCCTCCCTTCCCGTGATCTGCCCACACAACAATACATAGGCGACACTAAGTATCTACATAACGAACAGAACTACCGCAACTAAAGTATATTAGGATTCTCAGATGTTTCGTATTAACCAAACCGAAATAAACGACACCAATTCGTCAGTCGGACCAACGAGTAAACTGCTGCCACTAAACATCAACAACTGTGTACTTTCACTGAAAATTTTCTCGATTAATACTAACTTTTTGGTGGTCGCTAAATAAACGTATAAGAAAAAAAAATGTAAAAAATGAACGAATACTTATAAGAGGTAGTTTCGAATAACAAAATGTGTTTTGCATTGCGTCGGCGCGGAGGCAGCGGTATTATACAACAAAACTTATCACATTAGTCTTAGTCACAGTATCATAAAGTTGTGCAATAATAGAAGCAGACGAACTTACGGCAAGTCCTAGTGTACTACTGAGATCTACAAAACGTTATATTATGGCTTGGGAGATCACCGCGTACGGTGGTCGCTAAACTAACTATCCAGTATATCCCGAGGGACCCTTACCGCACCACGACTGTACACGATAACAAAAAAATATTCCATCGATTATTTTTGATTAAAAGAGGGATAGGTAAATAAAATTTACAGTTATCATCATACGTAACCGAATTTAGTTAATATTGTTTTTAGCAAAATAAATAATTTGGTTCAAAACGTCATAAGTTAATAAATGATTTCATCTAATTATACTAGTTTTATATCGACATTGATAATATTTAGACATTGATCAGATTCAACATTCAATTGCATTCGAGTCATATCAATTTCAGATCGGTACAAAATATATTCGAATAGAAAAGTAATCGATCGGTCGGTCGATCAGCTTAATAATAATAAGTAACTTAATGTAAGTCACTATAAAGTATTGTGATACGATACGGGTCTCTGCGGGCAGACGCACTGGGTTTTTAAGTATGTCGAGAGTGACGTGTTACAGTGTACTAGGTGCGTGTGGGCTAGTCTCTAGTGGTCCTAGAGCGCCACGTGCATGTATACGTCCCGTGTGCCTGTGGCGGAGGAGGCGGCGGCGGCAACGGCGGCGGCGGCGGGTGGTGGTGGTGGAGGGGGCGCGGCGGGGGGTGGCTCCGCCCCCTCCCACTCGTGTCACAATGCGTAGGAGTCGACGCCGAGGGCGCCGCAGGCCGCGTTCTATTGCATCGCGGCGGTGAAGTTGACGCCGAGGATGTTCAGCGGCGAGGTGTGCGGTATCGTCTGGAAGTCTACCGGGCGGGACTCGATGAAGCCTACCGGCACCGGTGGACAGCTGACCGGGGCACAGCTCGCCGGCGGACAGAACAGCATCTGCTGCTCTTGCTTAGTCTGCAGCTCCTCCTTCAGGTCGGGGGTGTTGTTCTCGCGCTTTATTCTGTTCTTGATGCTGGGCCGCGTGTTCGGGTACCCTCGTTTCTTGTATTCGAGCCACAGAGTGCGGTTGTTGACTCCGAAGAGGCGGGCCGCTTTGCAGAATCCGATGCCGCCGAAGCGCACCGCCTCCAGTGCCCGCTGGAAGTTCTGTTCGGCCTGCGGGTTGGTGGTGCGGCGGCGGCGGGGCGCGGGGGGCTCCGGCGCGGGCGCGGGCAGCGCGGGCCCCGCCGACGACCCCACCAGCCCCGCCCCGTACTCCCCGAGCTGCTCGCCGCCGTACTCGCCCAGCTGTTTGCCCCCCACCACCCCGCCCATATACAGCGCCCCGTTGGCGTCCTGCTGCAGCCCGCCGAAACATGCGTTGGTGTATCGCGTGTAGCCGTGGTGCTCCATCATGGTCCAGCCTGGGAAGAGAGATAAATGATTTGTAGTGACACTCCTCTCTAGCGATCGACGCGACAATCCATTGTTAAAGTTATTCATTGATCTCCCTTCCCTGGAAAACGAAACGTGCGACCCGCGTACGTACACAATTATCAATCAACATGGTAACTATTTAATAGAAATGAGATTCGCTTCATGGTGCCGCACGATGGGATAAATATAAGCTATGGTGGAGTATGTAATCGGAGGCTTGTTTATCGAGCTGTACACTAAAATATACGTGATCACAACGTAAAATTAACAACTTGTTGACAATTTACAGCTTCGATTGACTCGATGATCTTTTGATAATAATAACGACTCATTAATTTGGGTATGTGACGCTGGCAACGCCACCTATTCGATTTTTAAATGAACACTTGATCTATCTATAGCCCGTTTAACATAGAATGGGTGGCATGGTGACGTTTGTTAGCCATCGTTTTCAAAATTGTTTCGACCGTGTACATATTATATATTTATTTAAATTTTCATTTTATAAAAAACAAGTTCAATAACTAAATAATAGCGATGAGTAAAGGACACCGTAGTCACGTGCCACAGATCACAACAAAACAAACTGTTGTGGCACACGACTGCGCTGTCCTTTTTATCGCTTTAGTCGTTAGTGCATCTATCACAAGCAAATGCTATCATTTAATACCCTACACGGAATGATTGAATAATATATATTTTTTAGTTTCCCGTTTGATACTATCTAGAGATCGCTGTTGCGAATTTAAAGTAAAGTCACATAACCTATAGCCCTAATGATATCTTATTAGTCAAATTACGATGAATAGTTTGGAAGTTATAAGGGAACAGATGAATGAACATTCTTACATATATATATATATATATATATTTATTTTCAACACACCTAATCACCCAACATTTTTTATAGTTATCTATATGTAATGCAATTAAAAGCTTTTAAATGTAATAATTTATATATCTCCTTGATATTGTCGGCTTATTGTTGTTGCACCACTGTCAAATGATCGATCTAAAATGGCTTCCAAATTTAGATTATAATTTGATGTATAAATTATTGTTATTTTGAACAAATACAGTTGCGACTACGATATCTTATTTGTTAAGTTTATTAGCGAAAAAAAGTCACCCAAAGTTAAATTCAATTCGTCTTTATATTGCTTTTTTTACTAATTTTATTATTTCCTTAATACTTTCTTAACGCATTCGGGTGATAACCAATAGGGCGGTGTAAAAGCGATTTCTTAGGCACTTAATTTATTTTAGATCACGTTGTTATATGTATTAGCCTAAATAGCTCCAAAGTTTGCTTAACTAATGTATGTCGAATTTGGGGCAAGCTTAATAAAAATTAATATATTGTTACATAGATTGGCGAAGTATCCGTTTAAATACCAAAATCAAAAGACGCTTTGAAAGTTTCTCCCACATATTGCTGATAAAATTAAAAAGCATCAACAATTTCTTTATATATTTTTTTATCTCACGGTCACTGTCTATCCTGTGAGCATAATGGCGCATCGACTGAAGGCGGAGAAGATTCAATATTGGAATTAAAACTATCCCGAGTTAATGTACAATTTTACAGAACGTACAATATACTGTGCACAGCGTAACTCCAATATTGGTTGCAAGAATAATACTGTGAAGAGACAAGTTAAAGATCCAGTTCATCAAGGCGGAAGATCTAAGAAGACTACGAATGATTTTTATCTTGATATTATTAAATTTCCTTATATTATGTAATGTTCCACAGAGTAAATCGAAATTTCTTCCAAAAAAATTTTTTGAGAGCTATTTGTGCGGCAAGTGTTCAAATTGTTCCACTCTCCCATGTGAGGCAGCCTCAGAAAAAAATACTTCGATAAGTCGTATAACTTCACCACGACATCAATTTACGCACAAATTTGGATTTCATTCGATGAAATAACCGATGTTTATGGCGCTATATCGTGCGCTTTTTGGTGACGCCATTAAATTTGGATACCACAAAAAACATATTTAATTGCAAGTAAAACGTTAGAAGTAGTGGATGGACGCACTATATCAGAATTTGTAATGAATTGTTGGAAGAGCTTGTGGGATGTCGAATCTATACTAATAATAAAGCTGAAGAGTCTATTTGTTTAGTGTTGTAACTGCTGGAAGAGATTAAATTACTGTTTTTGTGTTGAACAGTCCACTTATCGAGGAAGTATATACATTACAAAGACGGAAGAATATTTTACTTTGTAAAACTTTCCATGCGTGCGCTGCGTAAACGGCAAAAATCATGTATCACGAAATTGAACCTCTGTAAAAGTTCTAAAATAAATTCCACTGCAGCATATGTCTATCTTATATCTTATCCCGAAAAAAGCACACTAAAAGATGAAAATGAGAGTGGAAGTTAGTATAGGGCATTAAAGCGTTACCATAGTAACCATTTATTACAATTGAATTTGTCATTTTAATTATACCCCGTGTGATTCTTTTCCAAATCCATTATTAAATGATTAAAGCTGTTTACGCGAGATTATTATTAAAAACAATATTTATGTTTTGGATAATTTTAATCGGTACAATATTTGTCGCTAATATCAAATGCTTATTTTATATTGGTTAAGTACACGTAAATGTTACTTTTAGCTGCCTCTACTGAGCCCTAGATGACGCTACGGTACTTTGAAAACGGGATTTTGATTTTTGTTATGTTTGTAGTCTTTATTAATTCTGATTTTAAGTATCGAATAAAATTAGCTTTCGTTTTTAATTTTGCGGTTTTCCCAATAACGGGGAATTTTCAATCTGGCAAAAAAATAAAATGCTACTATTAGCCGTTTTCGCTAGATGACGCTACTGTGTTTATAAAATTGGTGTGTTTGTTTGTTTATTTAACTTAGAAGTGTATGTAACAAAAAAGATATTTGTAATTGTAACATAAGATTTCCCAATGATTTACATTTGCCATTTATTAGAACCGACTACTATAACAGAAAGTCAGTGTGTGATGTCAATAGAAATATTTAATAATAAAATACCGAATGAACATGTTTATAAATCACGTTTGAAAACATTGTTGTTAAATGTTTTTTTTTTGTCTAGAATATCCCGCATTTCAACAGCAAAATTTTTTTAGCTAATTAATACTCTCTCTATTAGCCAATATTGTATGCACGGTTACGACAATACACTTGAATTTGAATTTAACTTCAACGTTTTTAAATGTTAATAATATATTTAATAAATTAATATAGTACACACTAAGTAAGCTTTGTTATATTTTAAAAATGAATGAACATGAATGATATCCAGAATGGTGCGTGCACTGATATTGATAAAAGAAATAACTAAGATGCATATATTATACATCAATGAAACGAAAATTATTCATATGCATTATTTATTCAGAACGGTCGACAAAACAACAACCACAGATGAATGAAACAACTTTTAAACGATTTCATCGCGCTTCTATTTAGTTTTATCAACATTTCGGACCCTTCACAGGTTCCGTGTTCGCATGAGACTAAGGTGTTGATTGTCTTTTTAAGTAAAGCTATCTTCAAAACAATACTAATGGACACATTCACAATACAAAATATATATATATGGAAACGTTTACATTTATTAAATTTAATAATATTGAAAATACATTTGACTAACGTAATCTATCAGCAGTTCCAAATTGGGGAGTCTTGCCTGAGAAGAACTGACGAAACAAACTCCGACAAGAAAAGTGAATTACTCCCTTTGGTTTATTATTTACAGAATCAACTAACTGTATCTTTTGGTTTTAACAGTTAGTTGTTTCATTTACGGATAGTGCGCGTGAAATATAAGAAATCCATAAAACCACATGTTTATATATAAAACTCTCGTGGCACAGTTTTAGTTATCGTCACTATTTAGGTGCACTGACCACTAACATTGATGTTAATATGGACATTCCATGGGATTCCAACTGATACTGCGGGATTTTAATGAGTTTATTCTTTTTATCAATAACTACAACAGTTTATGAGGGTCCAGTAAGTAAACGACGTGTAAATTTTACAGTAAGCAACACATTGAAATATTAGAAAAAAGAATGGTAATTTATTTTAACTAAGGTCATTCTCGGCCTTCCAGTGAAGCTGCAGACGGACCAGACCAAGAAGGAAACCAATGATATATTTTGTTTAAATAAGTAAATCATTTTAACATATTGATCATATTAATGAAGATTTTATTTTAAATACAAATAGATTGTTCTGTTTGATCATTAATATTTTTTTTTGAGGAGCATATGATTTGTATGGTAGTGTGTTCTGGTACAATTTCAGAATCAAAATTTTGATTCTTCTATAAATTTAAGAAATCCTTATATAAAATATATAATTTTGGTTTAATGAATCAAGTTTCTATGTATTTATTATATTCTAGTATTTATTTATTATTCTGATAATAGGTTGTTTGATAACATATTTTTGCACCCCTAAGAAATGGCAAAACAATGTTTACTAGATGAGCCAGTTATTGATATAAATGCAATGATAAATATTTTATATGAAGGAACAATTGTTTTAAGGCAATTGTAAAATCACTGAAGTTTCAATGAAATATCAAACTCTCAGATAAAATGTTTATTTTTTTTTTTTATTGTAGATATGATACATTAATTGTGAGAGCTTATTTATTTTACTTGGACCAATTACATAAATAATATATACTTATACAGTTAACTGCACGTAGGACTATACAAAATTGTCAATTTTCCCCACTCAATTGTAGACGGATTCATCATGTACAGAGCGATTGAAGAGGAAGGTCTGTGTATATTACAGGGCCACGAGGGCAAAGCTACGACGGTAAGCTAGTGGAAGATCAAACGCTTGTAATGGAACCCTATAGTCTTATCAAAAATCTGAAGTACCCTTGCTACTACCATTGGAACTAAGTTAAACAAACTGTTTTGTTGACTCTACAAAGTACCAAATAAAAACTATATCAACCCAAAGTGTGTATACTATTAAACAAGCTGCGTAATACATAATAATTACGCACTAACAATCACGGCAAAGAGTAAAGTATATATGTTTGGTCGAATGCGAGCGAATCAGGAGGCCAGGTGGTCACGTGACGCTCCGCGAAGGTTGTAAATTGCAATTGTAGTATACAATTTGTAGTATCTTTTGTAGTATATTCATTTTCATTGTTTTTTTATATGTACAGAATTTTTACCCGATCTACTGATTTATTGCACAATTTCCTGAGGCTTCTTTCAAATTCCGCATGGCAACACTGCTGCCCTGTACAACAATATTAATTCAGAACATCTCTTCTATTTTTATCCACAGAGGTCATTCTATCAGCCATTAAATTATAATCCAAAAGATGAAGGAAGTATTAATATTAGATGTTCATAGATCTGATATCACAATTTATAACAAAACTTTAAGCCGTGACTGCAGGTTAATCCTGTGTGGAGATATGTATATAACAAATATATGTCGCTCACCTTGTTGCGCCATAGCTTCGTTCGCCTCCATGTCCAGCGGTTCTACGTTCATGTTATCGGTCGCCTGAAACGTAATTAACCATATCAATGGCTATATCGGCAGCTTCAGCGCTTGGTCGATTCAACTTCATACAATTAGCATTGACTCCAGTTCAATGTAAGCTAATCGCTGCTGCTGCTGTTGCTGCTTAATATTTATTTTATATGATGTATGAGTTACGTTACGACATGGCACGTGTATGGCGCGGCATGCATGTACATAATACAGCGCATATAAACGCGTCGACTTTGCAACAGAACATTGTGGTTACTGAGAAATTTATTATCAATTGCAATAACATCAGTAAGATACATAGAGACAAGTATGAACTGATATGTCAAAATAATTGTAATTTTTAAGAACAATCTATTTACACATGGCCGCGCGTCAGGTTAATAAAATATGACAAATTTCTCTGCTTTATTTTAATATACACCCACAAAATATTTAGCTTTAAAATCAATAGGAGAAATTTGACAGATTGGTATAACCCGACGTACAGTTTATGTAATATGTCCAAGGCACTTCACGACGTACTGCCACAGTTTGACTGTTTCTTAATAAAGCAAAATGAATACGTAACTCATTGATATGAATATAAAAAGAACTCGAAAACCGTGCCGCGATGACACTTTTGTGCGTTGGATCTAAAAAGAAATTTGCGTTTTTCAGAGTGAAAGCCGAAAAACCTTTTTTCGTTTATATTTGCCAATAAAACATGCTGTAGCATTGATCCATATCCAAAGTGCTTTGCTGCTCAGCTGCTCTAAGCAGTAGGCACTTTGGATATGGATCAATGCAAATAAATTTATAATGTTAGTTTTTGTCAGATTGAGTTCAAACTCTTGGTTTTTGGACGTCTTTATATTATCAATCTCTTGCAAAAGCTACGTAACAACTTGTGTCACACATACTAACTGGTGTTTATTACAATTTATAATGGAAATTAAAGAAGAGGCTACACAAAGACGGATTAAAAAACTGACGTCGAATTGGTGAAAAGGAAAGATAATCAGAAGAAGAACGACGAGTGTTGGTGTGAGTGTATATTGAAAGTGAGATGGGCGTGTCCGTCGTGTACAGACCGGTTGTATGTTCTCGATGCGTTCGTCGTAGTCTCGTTTCTGTTGCGGCACACTGCTCAGTGTGACCGTGTCGCCCCCGCTGCCTGCCCCGCCCGCGCCCCCGCCCCCGCCGCCGCCACCCCCGACGCCGGCGCCCGCGCCCCCACCGCCGCCCCCGCGACACATGTCCATGGTGGGCGCTTCTTCCGCACGTTCGCCCTCCAACGCGATACACGTGGACCCATTAGAACTTCTCCTACGTCTGTCAAAAAACAACGCCAATTTTGATAATCGTACACAACACAAAATTATAAACGTTATTTTCACACAGAAAGACATTTACATCAAACCCTGCCGCCGTTATGTGAACATTCACCATCTTTTCTTCTGTTACTTCTTTATTTTATTTTACAAAGAAACAAACAATTATTGAATATGAATTAATAAATTGGTGATATTTAGATCTTTGTTATCTCCCTCACCATCCCTATCCTTGGTCAAAAAGGAATCAAAAATGGCCAATTCATTGGACGATTGAATATACATATATGCGTCACCTCTTCCGCCTGGCCGTCGGCGAGGAGGGCGGTGAGGGGGGCGGGTCGGCGCGCGGCGCGTCCATGGAGCCGTGCGCGCGCGTCAGCGACGTCGAGTCCGGCATCTCCGTGAGGCCCTTCACCTTCAGCATCTTGGCGGTGTCCAGCACCTTGGGAAGCTGATCCTCTGTCACGTTCACCTCCCCGTAGTATATAAAGTCGACCATAGTGCGCAGGTCGGCGAACGTCACGTCTTTCAGTATCACGATCGGATGTCGCGACGGGTTGTCCACGAACAAAGACTGAAATCAACTCTCATGTCAGTCCGGTTGTATTACAATACTCTTAGATAGTGCGCGGCATCACACGTCTATGGAGGGAGAAACACCACAGTCTATCTAGAGCAGCACAATGTTATCATGACCCCGAGAGTATCTCCACATTATTTGCCTTAAATAGAAATTTTTCGTTCCGATTTCTTTATTTATAACTTTAATGAAACATCTTCATATATATTATTTCTTAAATATATATATATCTATGATCGACTTACATGAAAGTATGTGCTGCAAGCGGAGAGCACCAGTTTATGTGCCTTCAGCTGCTGCCCCTCCGCCGCCAGCGTGACGTCCACCAACGTCTGACTATTCAGCAACGACGTGAACATTGATATGAAGTTTGGCTGGTGGTTGTTCCACCGCAGGCTATACTGTTGTGTCATCCCTGCCAATGACAATCCAGCGTTACCAACGGCAAACAACAGAACAGAACAAATACCTAAACTTTATCAAGTTGCACAATAAAATGTATACAATTCGCACTAGCTTTATTTATGTATATTTCAGTTTGTTATATAAAAAGCAAATTCAAGTAACATACGGAGTTCGTGCCATATTATATTATATTTCGACGCTTGCGATGAATAAACAACTTTTGCAACGGTCAGTCATCGAATGGGTGACCAATAGTTTATCTCGAGCTCTCCTGTAGTTGTAACGGCATGTTAAGCTATTGGTCCGGTAGCACCTGTAGTGTAGTAAGCCACGATCACCCAGCGTGGTTGGTTCATGATCTTTTCACTGGAGGTGAGCCACGGAGCGGGCCGGTGTCTCATCGGTGGTCACATACTGATGAAATTCGCAAATTAAAAAAAGAAAACATGCTATAATTTTCTGGAAAATATATATAGGCCCCCAAAGAAGCTTTTTAGTTTATTTTTATATGATCTTTTTACATTTGACTTTTATCATAATATCAATTGTTATTTCGCTTTTGTAAAAGACTCATAATCACTACATAGTATAAAACAAGGTCGCTTTGTCTGTCCCTATATCCTTATGTATGCTTAAATCTTTAAAATTACGCAACGGTTTTAATGGGTTTTTTTTTTTCATAGATATTGTGTTTTCGAAAGGATTGTTTTTATGTAAAATACAAGATAACGCAGGCGAAGCCCCGGGCGGAAAGCTAGTTAAGTAGGTATATATCTTTCCTCATTTTTGCAAATTAACAATTACAATAACATTCGCAAAAGCAACAATAAAAATTAACAGGATCTTTTAAATGATATATAATTTAAACTAAGCCATCGCAATGCAGTTCATTCAAAGATATGAATATATTCTTTCAATGTATGTAATGCCGACATACGTACAAAATCTACCGACAAAATTTAGTTCCGAAACTGACGTAAAATATCTCTGTAAAGTTGATAAGACACAAAAATAAATAGAATACAAAAAGAGATTTTAATAATGTACGATCAAGCTGTATAAATTATTATGAATATAACAGTAACCGACCAGTTGTATAATTTGGTTTTAAATGAATCGAATGAAAAGTTGAACGTCTGAGAATTCAAACACTGATGTTTTTCAATAACAAGTATAATACCACAAACTTCAAGAACACAACACTATGTACAATTTGTACACAAATAGCAAAGCTCTCGACGACATAACGTCACAAGCTTAACATGTAATCAAATTATTTTATGATATCTGTATTTTATGGATACACCAATGCACAGTATTCTTATTCATTTTACTTACAAAAATCTCTGTTTATATTTTATTGAATTTACCGTTAGATTGTTACTTTAATAATATTAAACTTAATGATAATATAAAAACGCGTGGGTCACATGAAGATGCAGTTTGGTTGTTTCGATCTTTGGCGTACAATATTGAGGATATGTTACTTTCGCAAGAGCCAGGCATAGAATGGGTGGGCAATAATGTATAGTCTCCAACTCCTCCATGCTTCGGAAGGCATTTGTTTCATTAAAGAATTCTGTTTTATAAAAAAGGCACTTAATTGATTTAAACATAATAAAATTCCTAGAAAAGCAAAATAAGCACTGTAAAATATTATATAGTCTAAGTGAATTTCGACTATATAATTTTTCCAGTTATTATAATATAAATTACATCACTAACATAAAATCAAAGTCACCAACTTACATATTTGTACAAAATTTGAACTCAATCGGTCCAGTAGTTTAAGAAAATCAAGTGTGACAGATGGAAGTATTCTGGTCTTCCTGCTGAGGTGCAAAACCCGGATATTAGACAAAAATTGACCATTCCATTTAATCTCTGAAACTAGTGAGCCTCCATTTTGATAGAAAGAAACTTAAATAGGTTGGTTCAATACTATCCATGCAATAATATTGTAATACATCTGATATAATTAAACAACTATGAAACTAATTCCACTCACTTGACAATGATGAAAGGGGTTCTTATTGATGAGCACCAGCTTGACCCTAAAACACTGTCTGTAACCAAAATAGTTGATTTTTAGAGAACAACAAAAATGTTCTATAATAAATACTTTTTTTATAACAGTCCAAAGCTACTATAGGAAATAAATTTTAGAAGTTTTCTGAAAAATATCAAATATTTAGGCATTATTTTTAATAAGTAAAAAGCGATAATATGCTTTTAATTGTTTTAATATATAACAGTATTTAAAATGATCATTATATACACAAAGAGATAGAATGTGTTTGTTTTGCAATTAATTTTCACCACATTAAAATTCAAATCAAATAGAAAAAACTAAAAATAAATAATTAAGAGTGTAGGTATTATTAAAATTTTGCCAACCTCAATATTTTTGCTTTCAGAATATAAGGAAATGTTTTAAGGTGACTAACTTAATAACTACATTAGTTATTAAATGACAAAGAATCATTTTAATTAATATAATACAGTAAAATATTTTTTATAAATAAGCCTTTAACTTTGTTATACCTATATTATTTATAGATCTAGTTACTTATTAAATTAGTTTGGATGTTTATAATATTTGGTAAATTGCCAAACTCAATTAAAAATATAACCAAAGAATAAGTCTTTATTAAGCAAAATGCAAAGCAAAGCTGCATAATAATCAACAAAATAAAATAAGCAAAAGTAATGCATGAGATCATTGTTATTATTAAGTCTAAAGAGAAAATGGGTGAGATGAACATATATGTAGGTATATAAAAATGTACACAATTGACTTGTTGATAATTTTATATATAATATTATACATGTTTCTCAAAAGTGTACAGGGTCCACGATGATATTCCATTTCTTTACAACACCACTGTTATACACTTATGAAATGCAATAAAAAAATTTAATTTAATTTAATTAAATGATTTACTAACATATTTCAACAACACATTGTTTATAAATAAACATAAGAAATATATATCCACTAAAGTTAAGTAACTATAGGCATTGCGTTGTGGAAATTCTAAGTTATTTTCAGCACCATATTTATTCATTAATTTTCTGTATTGACTAAACGGTGTACTTACAATAATATCTAAGGTAATTACCTCAGATATTGTGGCATCATGAACATATCACTCATAAGATTATATAAGTACTACTTGAGAACTTACTGCATTTTATTTCCTAAAGGTATATTCTATGCTAGAGACCTTGGCACTTTTTACTGTGACCCATGTTCAATGCTTTCAATGTTTTTGGCTCATTAATTTATTTAATACAGATATGTTAAACTGTTTAGGTACAGTGGATGTCAAGACATTCATCAATGACTTGTCCACATATCTGTGCTTTGAAAGATCACAACAATAATGTTTCTTGTGAAGTAGACAACTACATTACAAAATATCAACATATGTAGATAAAATATTGGACATTTGTACCAAGGCAGTCATCAAAAACATATTGGAATAATAATATTTTACATTGTAAACACACACCAAATAACTTAGAAAAAGTTAAAATCAAGCTATTGAATAATAAATATGATAAACTGACCTTTTCACTGGGAAACAAGATAAAATACAGCTAGTGGTAATTACAAACTTCTCATATACCTGTAAGCAGACATATTGTTCTATGTAACATAAATCATATCATCAAAAAAAAAAATACATTATCATGATGTTTAATCAAACTTTATATGATCATAAAGTTACTCTACATATTTAGCAAACAAAAAGTTAAAATTCAACAATCACCATCAAGTGGAGCACTGTTCTGTGACATTTGTTTGCAACTATTTGACTTACAAAAAAGTCAAGCTAAATACTATTGAGTTTCATTTTTGACAAAAGAAACTAATTTATAACTAATCAAACTAATTTACCAGTTTATCAAAACAATCTAGCAACTTAATATTGATTTTTTTTTTATTCATATAATATAAATATTTCCTTGTTTCAATTTAAATAGGTATATCAAGTTAATAAAAGCTAAGATAAAGATGAAAACTTTTTACATATCAATGAAATTTTATTAAAGCTGAATCAGAATTATGCAAGTTTAGTCAATTCCATGTGAATTCATCATCTAACTCTAACTAAACTAAAAAAATATAGACTTTTAAAATTCCAAGTTATTCTATTGTTGCTCTTTTAGATTTATATATCAGGTTTAGTTTTATATACATATATAGAGGTTTCGTTATATATCTACTTCTTTAATGATGTGATAAAAAGAAGACATTAGCATAATATAATGTTAAATAATCAATTTAAATGAAGTCATTCAAATAAATTTCTAATTCAAAACAATAAAATAATAAAATTGGAACCTTTTAAACGATTTTTTTTTTTTCAATTTTGCACTTGATTTGTAAAGCCAATGGCTTCAAGGAAGAATTAGGTAAATCTTCAAAATCCTCAGATCGCATCTAAAATGAAATACCAAACTGACAGGAACAATACAAAGTGATATTATGTTCAACTGCAACACTTCATAATCAAAATCTCAAAAGTATGCAGCTGCACAATACGTACAATAAAAAATATTCCCCAGTGAGGGGTCCCTTGCTCCGGGGCAAATGACATCAATGAATAACTAACAATGCACATCTTCGATTGCTAAAAACATCTTTATGTACTCACTTGTTTCAATATCTTTGTGAAGCCTGTCCTCTGCAGACAATTATTTTCTGATCGAATACTCAAAAACAACAAGTAGACCCACGCCATCAACAAATATATCCACCAAAACCCACGCCGATCTGTGTTGCCATATGGCTGCCATCCTCACAGAATATTTAACACAAAATGATAAAAATATAGATATTCTTCGTCCTCCGACTCGCTTATGACCACAAATTATATAGTGTTTATGACGTCACATCACCCAACTTGTCGCACTACAAATTAAATAGAAGTCTTTGCAAAACACTTATTACTTTCTACTTATTGGGTAATTCGGAATTGTTCAGAGTAGAAAAATTGATTTTCTAACAACAAAAAAATAAACAGAACATTGGCAGAACTGTACAAAACGCGCAGACAAGCCATTAAAAAAAAGAAGTAGAAGTGTTAATGTCTGCGTTCCTCTAGAAGTAATAATATATACTTTGCTCTTTAGAGGAATCATAATAATATAATAATATTTTGGTTCCAATCATTGAATTAGTACTATCTAACCGTACTACGTCCATGGCTAAATAATATGGAAATGAAGTATCACTTTTCCACTATTACTTATGATCGTTATTGCCATCATTGTAAAAGACGATAAAAGCATACCTACTAAAACAATGATATTAATATGTCTTGATACGCAGTACATGCCAAAAATCTGAAGCTACTAAAACTAAGACGTTTGTCTTAGTTTTTTCGTTTTTCACTTCATTACTCATTCACCTCCGGCCGAGAAAGTACAAAAAAATGCTCCGCAAAAACGAAGAAAAACAGTGGATAAAATACGATTCTCCTTAACAAATACACATAATACGAAAGAATATTAAGTTTCACACTTAAGTCATTAACATTTTTGGCAATAAAAACAAAATTAAAGCTAGTTTATAAAATAAAAATATTTAATTTACACAAATAAAATTTTGATATTTTTTCGTCAGTGTTGCCATTGCTATTCACTTTCAATTTTCCCCACTATATGGGAGCCTTTTCTTTTTATTTTACGTGGCTATAATTTAGTTAAATATCTTCTTTTAATTAATTATATGGCTCAAATTTAGTATAGGCAACTGTGCAAATTGTGTTGATATTTTTTTTCATAGACGCACACAGATGCTAAAGTGGTTTAATTTTTTAAAGTTAATTAAATTTTTTTCAAGGCGTGGAATTCGTTAGTTGTCGAGATACAACTTTTGAAAATACGTAAAATTGAACCTTTGTTTGATCTTTTGTTAACTTTAACAAATGTTTTTCTCTTAAGCACTGACTTTATCGAAAGACAAAGGGATTTATATGCACAGAGCCTACTTTCGTGATTGTTCTTTTTTTCCAAGTTTTTTCAAATAAATTTTCAAAGTTACAGTATTTTTCTAATTGATTTTATACATATATCTACATTACTTGTTCATTCATTCATTCATCATAATGGGTGAATTTTCGAGAGCTGGCAATACAATATCAATTACCCATTTTTCCGTTCATTCTGTCGTTCGCACATATTCTGTCTTTGTTTAATTTAAGGTTTAATCGTAGATATGAGAGAGACAAATATAATAAACCTATTTATATTATAGAGTATAAATATTATTTGTAAAGCTACGTCCTGATTTCGGAAAAGTGCTACGCTTTTTGGCGCGTCTGTTGTATGGAATTGCTTCTCTAGTTATTAAACTCATTGTACTAAAAGCGTCCCGAAGAATAAAAAGCAGTACATAGCGATTCGAATCGTTTACTTTTAACTGTTACTTAATTCTTTGTGTACCCAGTTTTTCGCCTACCCTACCCTACCAAACACAGGCAAAATTTTTAGATTGATATTTATATGTTCAGCTTGTATAGCTTTTGATAGATTTTCTGTTAGTGTCATACGAACGAACACAAATACTTGCATTACAAATTGTAATGTATCAAGAGCGAGTGCAAGTCTAAAATACTGTCCCTGTCTGTATCTGTTTTGGCTGTAAAAGAACTCTTAGAAATATGATTTAATTTTCTCAATTTGAAACAGATTATTTGGACATTATTTCTTTGCACAAAACTATCAAAATTAGTGAATTATTCTCAAAATACACGCTCCCTCGACCAGGGTGGGGGATTATTAGGTTGGCGTTGGTTTCACCGCTGACTCAGGCATTTTTAAGTTTAGAAGATAGCAACCGTATCCTCAATAATTAGTTCAGTTCATATCCCAATAATTTTAATATCCTTCAATATAATATTTTTCATGCTCTGAATCTAGTTCAAAGTCCTGTCTTTGTTATAGTCCTACAACCTATCTATAATACTATAGTATAGCCCACGCCACCACAGTCCTAGAATTATTCCAGTAAATTTTATGATTTCTTTTATCTTACTGCGATTTAGAAATCCATTATTAATCCATTTATTTTTATTGCTTGGTCACCCTACTTTATTTGTTGTAAACTAACAATTTTACGATGTAATGAAGAAGTCATAGCAAACTCAGATTATTCAATGATATGGTCAAGGCATATCTTAAGATGTGGGCTGCAAGATATTCTGTATATCTACGTAATACGACCGTTTTACGAAATAGGTATTCTACGATTTGGCCATGACTTGTGGTTATTACATTGTAACGACGACGACATTATAATAAATGTAATAAATTTACATTGCATTTCATTTGTTTTACAAGAATGATAGATAGATATGAATATATGCTCGGAGAAATGCCACTAAATGGCAAGAAGCCTTGTGGATTTCGCCGGAATTCAGTGTTTCATTTGCTTTACTTAATATTATAGTATTTTATAAACTCTGCTTTTTGTACGTTGCTTGTGAAACCCCAAGAAAAATTTTTGAATATTGGTTAAATTGAATTTTTAATCTACTTTATGACAGCCAAATCAAAGACGTATGTTATTACTCTTAACTTACAAAGGATGATTATGAAAGGGAAGTTAATATATCTTAAGACGGTTTTTTTTAATATGGCCTTTTAAACGTTAAAGTCAAAGTGACAGTGACAGCAACAAGTAAATGACATATATGGATTCCGGTAGTAAAATCGACAATTAGTGCTGCCAGTAGTAGTCAACCTGTTTTCCTCTAACATTGATAAAATACTCGTGTCAGTTGACAATAATGCAAGTGTGATATAACAAATGACACGCTTGATTGAATTAAAGCAATCGTACTTCACTTCACACGGGGACGCAGCCGTATAGGTATCTATATCTACTTATACATAACAATTAACTAACACGAATAAATAAAATAAGCTTTACTTTATGTAATGAGGAAGTATTTAAAAAAACGAAAGCACTAAAAAGTACCTTCACTAGATGGCGACTCTAGCAAAAGTTGATTTTTGCAGGAAACGAATGGACTAAAGACTGTAATTTCCTTTAATTTAACTAACATATTCAAAAACTGAAATCGGAAAAGTTCGAAACTTACATATCAATACTAATATGAAAAAGTACAAATAGAATATGAGTTGTTTATTGAGTTTTGAAAACGAATTTACTTTTATACATGAAAGAAAACCGGAAGAGTTGTCATGTAGAAATCAAGAACGTAACGTAGCGTCATCTAGTTTGATTTCGGGAACTATTTTTTTTTATACTCCTCATTGTTTATTGGTAAATACTACTAATGAGTAAGTATTTAAAAAATAACAATTAGTTCTTGAAATCATACTAGATGTCACTCGCAATGTTTTGAATATTGTCTACGATAATCATTCAAATTTTGTTTTTGACGTAATAAAAGTAAATAAGGAAGAAAGTAAATATTTAAAAAAATAAAGAAACTACTAAAATTTATGTGATAAGATGGTAGCACCAATTGTAGGATTTAAATGTCAATGAGGAAGTATTTAAGAAAAAAAGAAAGCACTAAAAAGCACCTCCACTAGATGGCGACTCTAGCAAAAGTTAATTTTTGCAGGAAACGATTGGCCCAAAGACAGTCTTTTCCGTTCATTTTAACTAACTTATTAAAAAACTGAAATTTGCAAAATTCGAAACTTACATATCAATACAAATACGAAAAAGTACAAATAGAATATGAGTTGCCCCGGGCCTCTTATCCTGGGGGGCCTCCAAATGGCTGAAAGTTCCCTTGATCAAATCATAAATTGGGGTTGTGCTGCCTTATCTTTATTATGCTGCCTTGTATATATATACATTTATTTCAAGAACCACAAGTTACTTTCTTTTCTCTCACTTGTAACGTGCGCTTAACTTGTTTGACGAAAAAGATCTCACTACAGAAAGTATTGTATTTTGTAAAATAATAATTGTATTTAATAGTATGTTATTAAATGTAATGTATATAATAGTATTTGTCGCGCACCAAACAGGTCCTGTCAGAATAACAGCGTTGACGCGGCACACATGTGTGTCACGACAACACAAGCTGAGGCAGGGTCCTGATTGACCTCTGTAAATGTTATTACTGTATTGTTTATTAATAGTAGTATGTTTTTTTTATTGTTATGAATTATTTATTGTGATGTATTTGTTTGTGTAATTGAGGTCAATAAATGTCTCTTCTTCTTCTTCTTCTTATCTTTCTTAGTTTCGTAGTTTTAGCAGGAGATGCGGTGTAAACACAAAATCAAGTTTCTGCACCAGTTGTAAAAAGTTGTAGGTACGGTACCTAATGCCGCCCCGGGCCCCCGACAGGGTTAGTCCGCCACTGCATCAAGGTAAGTTAGTTTTGTTGCTATTCGCTGTCTGCTGAACTTACAGCAACATAAGTCTCAATAATATTAATAAATGAGTTGTTCTTTCAAAATTAAGAGTAAAAAAAAAAGACACTGGTTGGCTGTATCATTGATACAGCCATATTTTATGCGTGGATACGTCTATGTATGAATGGATATATGAGTAATTGATAAAAAACAACCCGGAATTATGCAACGTTGTGGCATAATTGCATTTATAAATGAATAATAAAAAAATAAATAAATAAACAAATTGAAGACACTAAATAAATAAATATTCGTTGCGTTCATTTATTGAATGAAAAAAGTATTCACTAGCGCCAACAGATGGCGTTAGTGCATATACTCCTGCTGACAGAATGTCCCTCCCCCTGCAGAGCAAGCATAGTTCACTTATACG